TCGCTGGCTCTGGGATTGATTAATATGGCTGAGGTGAGTGACCTGCCTTCAGTATCGATCAGCATGGTGGTGACCCGTCTCTTGGTCGGGCTACAAGTCGCTGGCTCTGGGATTGATTAATATGGCTGAGGTGAGTGACCTGCCTTCAGTATCGATCAGCATGGTGGTGACCCGTCTCTTGGTCGGGCTACAAGTCGCTGGCTCTGGGATTGATTAATATGGCTGAGGTGAGTGACCTGCCTTCAGTATCGATCAGCATGGTGGTGACCCGTCTCTTGGTCGGGCTACAAGTCGCTGGCTCTGGGATTGATTAATATGGCTGTGGTCAGTGTCCTGCCCTCAGTGTCGATTAGCATGGTGATGACCTGTCGCTTGTTCTGCCATCCCTGTCAAGCCAGGTTAAATATTTGTTTTCTCTGTTTTCCTTGAATTCAACTGAGCATTAAATGTTACAGGAACTGAAGCTTGTGAACTTCAAAGGGACACAGCTGTGGACCAGTGTTTGATTTTTGTTTTCTTTGTGTCTGTAAATGATAATGTTCTTGGCACTAACACAGTAATAATCTATGCTGTCCCCGCGGGCCTGTGTCTGTACCCCTGTGGACCATGACGTTAATCTTGCATGGTGAATGGCCTTCTGTGAATTGATCTTGGCTGATGCGGTCTCGTTACAAAGTGCTGTGAAAGCTGTCCATAGCTTTGCTGCCTTTCCCGCATATTGCAGAGCATATCGCTCTGACAGACGGCCTGATTGGTAACGTGCATCTTTCTGTGGCTTTAGAAAGATCTGTACCCATTGCCTTGTGTGATTGATCCGCACCAGCATCCAAATCACAATGTGATAGGAGTTTGACATGTTTCCTGATGCTCCGTCGGGCTGCGGCGTGTTTGTGGGACTCATTCTTCCGTCAGGGGGCATTTATGCAGTCAGCCGCTCAGCGGCCCCCCATTTCTGTTGAATATTGAGGGAATTTAATCCTATGACTCCTATCCAGAGGTTAAATGGTAGCGAAGTGTAGAGTTCCAGTGAGCTATTCAGTTTGTTTACAAATGCAGTGCCTTCTGACCATATGGTGATCCGGAGTGGAAGTGACTGTGACAGAAGGTGTGAGTAGCAGCCTTGGCGCTATAAGTGGTGCTGGTCCTATTCACACCAACAGAGGGTGATGCGGGGGGGCGGGGTGGGGGGGGGGGGGGGGTGAGGATTCAGCCTTTGAGCTGAGCCCTTTGCTCCCTGCTCTCCCAATCTAAGGTCATGCAGCATCCCAGCGAGGGCGCCCAGGTGCTGGGTCTCCATAGCAACGTGAAGGAGGCAGCCATCCCTGTGGCCGAGATCCGGGTGCAGTCCCTCTCCAGCCAGCCCATCGACCACGAGGGGCCCAAAGCCAAACTGTCCGGGGAGGGCGGAGGAGGTAGGAGGGAGATGCACTCGTCATTCTCCTGCTAGAGTGAAATATTATCATTCTGGAAGCTGCGATATGACTTCACCGTCGTCCTCCCTTAGATCGATCCCCGGACATCGATAACTACTCTGAAGAGGAGGAGGAGAGCTTCTCCTCGGAGCAGGAGGGCAGCGACGATCCCGTCCATGGCCAGGTGGGGGCGCCAGAGGACGGAGAGGTAGATGGAAGAATCAGATAAACGTGCTGAAGAAATGAAGGAGAGAGCAGTGGTAGATGTGGTGTTATTTGGGGGAAAGAAGATCAACCTGGTGGCGAAGCGGGTTTAGATATGAGAGAAGCAGAGGCTGTTTGTCAGCAAATCCTTGCTGGTTTGTGGCTGGGGTGTCACTGGTTTGTGGCTGGGGGGTCGCTGGTTTGTGGCTGGGGGGTTGCTGGTTTGTGGCTGGGGTGTCGCTGGTTTGTGGCTGGGGTGTCGCTGACAGACATCGCTTCCTACTCGCAGTATCTGTTTGACGAAGACGACGAGGTGAGGAAGAAGAAGCCACGACACAAGCTGACCTCCATCACGCGCATGAATGTGAGCAGACGGCCGCGCCATATGCTCCGGCTGCAGGGGGCGCCGCACACCGGGCACGCATGCCAGCACACGCCTCACAGCGCCCCCCTGTGGCGCGATATTAAGTCACTGGGACCGCAGCTGCCTCTCCGTCTCGCTCCGGCATGGTGAGGCGTGAGAGAGAGACTTAACACGGGCCTTGCTGGAGCAGCTTGGGGCCCCGTCGCTCTCCTGGGGCCCCCGTCAGTCTCCTGGGGCCCCCGTCAGTCTCCTGGGGCCCCCGTCGCTCTCCTGGGGCCCCCGTCAGTCTCCTGGGGCCCCCGTCAGTCTCCTGGCGCCGGCGATTCTCTTATCACCGATACGGGGGGGAATCGTCTCTCCGTTGGAGGACAGTTTGTTCCATTTCTTATATTACTCAGTTTTTCTTTTCTTCTCTTTAGCAACCCAACATTAAGCAGAAGTTCGTGGCCCTGCTGAAGAGGTTTAAGGTTTCAGATGAGGTATCGAACTCCTCTCTGTCTCTGTGTCACACATGTCCCCACAATGTGATGAACACCTCTTATTTTAATGCTGTAAGAACAACCTTTTCAGTCCCCACAAGGGGAAATTCAATTTTATAAAGATGTGTCGATGCAATCAAAAAATTAAAAATGCCTAAAGATGTTTATTTTGTTTGGTTACTATTGATTAAGGTTAAGGCTGGGTAGGGGTTAAGCTCATCATGTTGGGAGTAGAGTTTTGCCCATAGAAATGAATGGAGAGTCCCCACAAAGATGTAATTACAAACCTGGGTGCGTGCGTGTGTGGCTCACCGGCCCACCCTCACTCGCGGCAGGTGGGCTTCCGGCTGGAGCACGTGTCCCGGGAGCAGATCCAGGATGTGGAGGAGGACCTGGATGAGCTCTACGACAGCCTGGAGATGTACAACCCCAGCGACAGCGGCCCCGACATGGAGGAGACGGAGAGCATTCTGAGCACTCCCAAGCCCAAGCTCAGGTGAGCCTGCAGGTGGCGCCGTAGAGCAGCCGGATGGATGTCAGCTGGATGTCAGTCTGTCCCCCCGTTTTTGGGATGTGGCATCACCGGGATCTGTGGGGTGTAGAGTAGTAGTAGGTACTCACACCTGGCCGGACGTGGGAACATCGCAAACCATCCAAGCACTCAGTTTCTGATTCCTTAAACAGCCATTTCCCGAATAATATACACCCTCGTCACTCGTATTTGACGGTGCAGCAGGCGCTACGGTTCCGGAACGTGCCGGCAGGCAGACGGCTTTGCCCGCTGGAGCTGAGCAGGGCAGCGAATGGGATCACGGCCCATATGATCCAGGCCAAAGGAGAGCCTCAGTGAAATAATAGCTCACGATAAACCACACACCACTCCCCTGGGCATCAGTTATCCAAGGGGTCATGTACCATTAAATGTTATTTAATGTTTAAGTAACTATTATAAACCAAAGTCTTTAAAAATATTTTTCTGGCAGTTCTTTTAATAAAGATGGCAGTGGAAATAAATATATTAACTTTTCTCACATTTTAATAATTTAGGTCTTTTTAATACTCCCTGCTATATGTGCATATTTTAAATGATGATAAATAATCTACATAAAAGAATACATAAGTGCGCCCTCTACTGGGCTGTTAGCCAAGGCGAGGTTCTGATCTTTTTTTAATAAGGGGGAGGGAAGACGATGGCTTTCCAAATCAAGAACTGGACTGTGAAATGTGCTGATGCGCCATCGGCAGTGAAAGCCTGGCATGTTCCCGGAGTCATGCGGCCTGTAGGAGTCCGCGTGTGCCCCCCCCGCCCTTTAGGAGGCAGCGTGTGTCCCCCCGCCTGTAGGAGGCAGCGTGTGCCCCGCGGACCTGCACCAGGGCGGCAAGGACTTTCACAGGGAGACTGTTTGCTGAGCACTTTGGCCAATACCAAAAGTGGACATGGCCCAAACCCTCCCGACAGCCAGGCTTTTGCTGCGAGGAAGCGAGGATTTGGTTTGGCTAGGAGTCTGGTGTCATCCCGGTGTTCTCCCAGTGCTGTGCCAGGGCTATCCTGGCTTTATCCCAGCACTATCCCGGCTTTATCCCAGCGCTATTCCGGCATTAGCCCAGCACTATCCCAGCGTTATCCCAGCGTTATCCCGGCGTTAGCCCAGCACTATCCCGGCGTTATCCCAGCACTATCCCGGCTTTATCCCAGCACTATCCCGGCTTTATCCCAGCACTATCCCGGCTTTATCCCAGCACTATCCCGGCGTTAGCCCAGCACTATCCCGGCTTTATCCCAGCACTATCCCGGCTTTATCCCAGCACTATCCCGGCGTTAGCCCAGCGCTATCCCGGCTTTATCCCAGCGCTATCCCGGCTTTATCCCAGCGCTATCCCAGTGTTAGCTCAGCACTATCCCAGAGCTATCCTGGCCCTCCTCAGAAACACACAGAGCTCACAACCAGGAACCCGATTCAGCAGGGACATGCAGGCGGATCCGTGTCAATCCGATTACTGAGGAGAGCCAACCCTGCACACTAACACCGGCATGATTGAAATGCAGCCAGTTTCTGTACACTGTCTGCAGTTTTAATATATCCATAGAGAAACAAAATGGCCGTATAATTTCCTACCACGAGAGCAATGGATAAGGTTCATTTCCTCCATGGTTGCTTAAGAAATGAGGTGTGCAAACTGTCCCTTTCCTGCTCCGAATGAGGAGTGAAAAAAACGGAAGCTGAAGGTTTTACCAGGACGAGGACAAGTGACAGGAGATCCATCTAAATTACAGACCGCTCCACACTTTGCATAGAAAATTAGCTCCAGGTAATTAAACCGATTAATTCCTGCTATATAGCTTCTGGCTGTAAAGTCGTGTCGATCAGATCATTATTTTTAGTGGTGTTTATGCAAATCCATGCAAGTTAAGCTTGTATTTGCTGGTTGCGAGGTTACAGTCAGATAATGTCTGTGGACTTGCGTGTTTAACTCAACGTGATTTCAGGAAAAGGAAGCATCATTACAGTTTTTGCTATTTCTGTCCCTAACAGCACATCTACGTTTTTCAAGGAATATCACCAAATCATAGCACAAAAAAAATTAGGTAGACATTATAGGATATATTTAGCTACTACCAAACCACTTGAATATTAATTTAGCTACATAAATGGCTAAATAATTATTATACTTCCCATAAAAGCATGCTATATTAAAAATGATGACTCTTCCTTTGTAATTATATGCACATGGCCTGCGTCTTGTTTGTCTGTTTATCCAGACCTTTCTTCGAGGGCGTGTCCCAGTCCAGCTCGCAGACTGAGTTCGGCAGCGTGAGCCGAGACCTCTTCAGTCCTGTGAGAATGCCACCGCCATGGGCACAGGGTGGACGGGGGGGGGGGGCGGCATGCTGACGGGGCACAGTGCTGTCTGGATGATGAGGCCTGGAACCACCCNTGCTGACGGGGCACAGTGCTGTCTGGATGATGAGGCCTGGAACCACCCACCATTGTTTTAAACGTTACCATAGCAACCAGTGTGATGCCATGTGTTTAGCAGGGCGATGAGCCTCCGGACAAGATGAGGCGATCCCGGAGTCACAACACGGACGAGCCCTACTCCGAGACGGACACACTGGTAAGCTGGCCCTCTGGCGGGGCGCAGGTCGCCGTCCTGTTAAATTCACCATCCTGGTGACTCCCTGTCCCACGGCGCACAGGAGCTGAACGAGCAGGAGCTGTTTGGCGACGTGGGGCCGTGTATAACTGTGTCGGTGCCGGAGAAACCCAGGACGCCGCTGAAGACGGGGAAGGCCGAGATCCAGAGCATGCCGTCTCCCAGGTCTGCTGGCACTACACACGCACGCGGGCACAAGCACACAGACGCGCACGCACACACACTGACAGACACACACACGCACACACACTGACAGACACACACACGCACACACACTGACAGACACACACACGCACACACACTGAC